GCAGAGACAGACGGATCTCTGGGAGTTCAAGGATAGCCTGGTCTACAGAGGGAATTCCAGGACAAAGATATACAGAGAACCTGTCTCAAAAAGCCAAAAGTTAAAAGTAAAAATAAAAGAAATAGAGGTTAAAATAAAGCCATGTAAAGATGGAAAATACACAGAGAATCTTGATACTGTATGCTATTATGCTCTCTTTAAATTGTTTAAATGCTGAGAAAGGAACAACAGCTGCTAAAAGATACTTGCTTATAAATGCTGCAGAATTAATCCAAGATAGGTATTTTGAAAATGCCTTGGCTTCAAAATTGAAGTCAAAAGGTATGCTACTTTGGAGAAGAGATTTTGCTTTTGTTTCCACAGAAAATGAGAGGATCTGGATTTATTCCAGAGTTAAGAAAAATCATCTTTAACCAAGGGAGACCACCTGAGCAATCTCCGGTAGGAACAGATGGCCCAGATGTCTGAGTTCTTCATCTAGAACAGGTTCAAGACTGCTGCCTGAGATGATCAAGACTCACAAGATACTTCAGTCAGGACTTGAATTCAGTCATAACTCTAAATTTTCTTTAGGTCCCTATAAGATTATCAGTGCCCTCACCCAGCTGGAAGTAACCTGGAATACTACGCCCACATTCCCAAAAATATTTTCCTTTTTTTTTTTCTTAAGATTTATTTATTTATTATGTATACAGTGTTCTGTCTGCATGTATGCCACCAGACCAGAAGAGGGCACCAGATCTCATTATAGATGGTTGTGAGCCACCATGTGGTTGCTGGGAATTGAACTTAGGACCTTTGGAAGAGCAGACAGTGCTCTTAACCAGTGAACCATCTCTCCAGCCCTGAGCCAGTTGTTTTTACTAACACATTCTAACAATCCAGAAACTGTATTATTTGACATAGTTGCTATTTCGAGGATTAGATAATGTGGTATTTTCCGCTTGGATACCCACTCTCCAGAGCACCAACCTCGAGTTAGTCATAAGGCTCCAAATCCCAAACCTTTGACTTGTTTCCATAGGCTATTTCCTTGTGGGAGGGCAGAATTTATTGACTGACGAAAAATAAGTACAGAACAATACAAACCCAGCAGGGCAGTCATACCTATCCAACATGCATTATGGTGATGTCAAGGAATATTGAGGTGTCTGTCTCTTGGTGGGCCTATGGCTTCGTGAGAGAATGCTTGGTTCAGAGCATTGTGACTGCTGGGTGGTGAGAGTGGGGGAATGGGAACTGATGGTTCACTGGGTCCAGGGAGGTAAAGACAGCAAAGGTAGGAACCTCTCATTAGATCATAAAAAGCTAAAATTTTTGAAAACATACTCATAGACACACACACCACACACATGTATACACACATGGACAGACAGACAGACACAGAGAAAGACAGAGAGCGAGAGAGACAGACAGACACACACAGAAAGAAAGATCGTATTTATCTTCCATCGTTCTGGCTAAAAGTGGGCAAGCAGCTAATAAAGTTTGCTAATCAGTAGCTCAACTTCTTGTAACCCCCAACAAACAAACAACCCCTCATGTTACAAAAAATAGCACCTCTGCAGAGGAAAAGAGGGGGTGTTGATCATTTTGAGTGCTATGAAAGCCAGAAATTTCCCTCCAATATTTACACACTCTAGTAAGGGTCCCCACTGAGAATAAATATTGTTAGCCTGTATGGTGACACTTGAAACTGAGAGGAACATTTAATGTTCAGATTTGCTGATGAGTATAAGGAGATTGAAGTAGGTCAGAGGCTGTGCAAGTGATCTCAGTTATGAGGGCTCTTAGAAACACACAGAAAATGACCATCAAGATGGTGCAGTGAGTAAAGACTCTTGTACAAGTTTGGCAAATTGAGTTCCAAACCTGGAATCCTTGTAAAGGTGGGGAGAGAGAACTGACTCTATAAAATTGCCTTACAACCTCCACATATATGTGTGACACACAATAATTTTCTGAGACTGAGTCTTACTATGTAGTCTTGGCCAGCCTGAATCCCGTTGTATAGACCAGGTTGGCCTCTAACCCATAGAGGTCTACCTGCCTCTGCCTCTTGAGTTCTGGGATTAAAAGCATGTGACACTATACACAACTAATAATATTTTTTTTAAAAAAAGAAACACCCATGAAAGATATTTCTGGAAGAATTGACTCATTCCCCAAAGAGGAACTTCTGGGGCTATTGAATTTGATTGACAGGTCATTAAAAGAGGAAGACAGATTAAATTCTAGTTGGGGTGGGATGAAAAATGCTGGAATCAGTGGATCTCAGAAAGTATTGGGGGAAGTGGTCATATTTAACAGTTCTAGGCAAAGCTAGATTTATTAGTTGTTTGTAGCTGCTGTGAGAAAATTCCATAGCCGAAGGTAAAATAAGGAAGACAGAGTTTATTTTAGTGTATGATCCTAGAGTGACAGAGTCTGTTGATGTTGGGAAATGCATGGCATGGTAGCAGGATCAGGAAGCTGGATAATTGCATTTTCTTTCTTTTACATTTGCATGTGCATGCAGAAAGTTGGGGGGAGGGGAGAATTGGAACAAGCCTGCAAACCTTCAAAGTTTGCTGCCCCAGTGATGTATTTCCAGCAAGGTTCCACCTGCTAAAGGTTCCATAGCCTTCCCCAAACCACCATCTGGATACCAAGTATTTAAATACATGAGCCTATGGATGTCATTCTCATTCATTACACTGCATCAGGAAAAGGAACCCACACACTAACCTTGACACACCTTCATTAAATATAAGCAACACTATCAAGTTGAGGCTGGATGGCATGTAAACCTAAGGAAAAATGAAGTTAACCCCTTGAATAAGAAAACTACAGTAATGAGGTTAGACTATGAAAATATGACTCCCTCCTAACGGATGCAACTTTTCTTCTGATTCCAAAAGATGCTAAGGTGAATTAAGAGAGTGATAGACAACATGGTGTAGCTTCTATCCCAGTACTTGGGAGACAGAGGCAAGTGGTTTTCGATGAGTTCAAAGTCAATCTATATAGTGAGATCCTATCTCAATAATTAATAATAATAATAATAATAATTAATAATAGCCAGGTGATAGTGGTGTACACCTTTAATCCCATGACAGAGGCAGGTAGATCTCTGTGAGTTTGAGGCCAGTCTGTTCTACAGAGTGAGTTTCAGGACAGCCAGAGCTACACAGAGAAACACTGCCTCAAAAATTCCCCCTAAAAGGAAGTAATAGGCATTACAAAAGAGCTGTATATGCCCCTGGCTTGGAAGAACTGAAGAACTAAATCATGAGGCACCTTGAGAAAAGAGCTCACAGAATGGGATCAAGAAGGAACCTAGCAGAGCGAAAGAGGTTATTTTAAAGTCCATTTTTCTTTAAGATGGGCAGACTGAAATGATAGTGTTAGACAGTGTGTGTTTGGGCTATTGCACTATAAAAAAATGGGGAAAGTCAATGTAAAATTCACACAATGGTTATTTTTGAGTGAAGGGGGCTTGAGATTGGGATGGGACACGTGTATATGAAGGGGGCTGGTAAATTCTTGGATTGGTAAGCAAACTGACTTTCTTCTAATTACTCACTGAACTAAGCATTTGGTTTGGTGTTCTAATTCTCTAAGGAGTAGTACTTTTGGCTAAAAATACCAGAAAACGTGGCTGATGCAAACTTAAACAAAAATAGATGTTTATCTTGAATCCCACCTGTGGCCTGGTACCATGAGTTCTGTCCTAGCTGGGAGCATCTAGGACCTTCTTCATCTTTCTACTGTATTACTTTGGGTTTCAGTGGTACTTCCATTGCCTTGTGGGGGTAAGCTGGATGCATGTGCCTTTCTCTATCATCTTCTACAGATAGAGGCCAGGGATATGGCACACAGGTCAACCCCCACAGCAAAGCCATTATCTGATCCCAAATACAAGTAAGGCTAAAGTTGAGAAACCATGTTCTAGTAGTAAGTCTCAGTGTGTATGGACAGAGAATACTTGGGGTTCCCCAAAACCCTTTCAAGGGGCCCATCAGGTCAAAACTGATTTCATAATAACAGCAGTACCTTATTTGCCTTTTTACTCTCATCTCTCCCACATGTACAGTGGGGTCTTCCAGAGGCTGCACAAGAACATAGTATTATTATCTGTCCCTTAGATATAGAAACAACTGTGAGAAACATCTGGTAATCCAAGAGTTTAAAGGGATTCCCTTTCTTTCAGATTTTTATTTCAGAAAGTGTATTTTTTATTAAAATATTTCATGTTAGTATATAAAAGTTATTTAAAATGCACAAATACTAATTTTTATGCTGTATTCAATAAATATCAGTATTAGGAGCATAGGTCTTAGAATATAAAGGAGTTTAGAGGTTAAAAGTTTCAGAACTACTGATGCAGAGAATCATTGGTTTTTAAATGCATCAGAAATGTGAAAATTGGGAGAAGTGTAATTATGGACTGGGCATAGCAGTGCATGACTGTAATCTCAACATTCAGGGGACTGAGGCAGGAGGGTTGTAAGTTCTACGACAGCCTGGGCTATATAAAAGACCCTTTTTTATTTATTTATTCCCTAACAAGTATAATTACAGGTGATTTGTCATGGAGAAAGCCTTTATCAGTCTATTCTACACTCTGACTCTGTGCTGAGTTCTGGGAGTACTAAGGTTAAAAAAAATCGGATTTCTATCTTCAAAAATTTGCCAACCCACAAAAAGAGACAAATTACATAAGTGGCTCTACCCCATCCCCCAATTTTTATACAAGGTATTTTCAGTATATCGTGCAGACAGCAGTGTACTTAGGTGCAGGGTTCATCAGACTCAATGATCACATCAAACCTCATCTAGATTAGAAGCTTAATATTTTCCCTTTTATCATTTACTAGACAGACCATCTGTCTTTTACTATTACTGGCTACCAAACCACCTTGTACCATCTAATAGACAAATAGCCTCTGTAAATCTGCAATCTGTAGTTTAACGGCAGAAGTCAAAACTAATTTCAATGCCTTGGGCCTCTATTTCAGTGACTGTGTTGGCAATCTTTAATGAACTGCATGCAGATGTGGATCTTTATGCTCTTCTGTTTGGAGAGAGTGTCCTGAATGATGCTGTTGCCATTGTACTGTCCTCGTAAGTAACTGGTTCTGCAGGGAGGTGGGGTAGGGGTAGGATAATGTTTCTGGCTTTGTCCCTTAGTAGCATTCAGGATGCTGGTACCAGCATAACATGGTGGCTGCAGCTTAAATTAAATGTAGTTGCTCTGGGCAGTGCTTGGTAGACTCCATGTTTGTTGTTATTTTCAGTTCCAGTGAGTCTCCTTGTCCCTCAGGTATACAGTTTAAGACCCCTTGTAAATGCTTGAAACCATACTGTTTGATGATTTTCACATACATACAAAAACATATCTATAATATAAATTAGAGAAGTAGAAAGTTAACAATAACTAATATTAAAGTATACCAATTAAAATAATGTTTCAGTTGTAATAAAATTATGCAACAAGCTTACTCTTTCTTTCAAAATATTATTGAACGTAATGAATATTTTATGACTTCTCTTTGGCAGATCCAAATTTTCAACAACACTACTTTTTCTCTTTGGAAATGTTATTAAGTAAAATAAAGGTTATTTGAACATAAATGCTATAGTCTGATAACCTCAATGGTTTCTAATGAACTTATAGTCAATTAGCATATGCCACGTGGATACATTAGTCAAAGTAGTGATTCATGTCATGGACAGGATCCAGCTGGATGGTTGAAGATTTCATCATGCTGTTGATAACAGTATGTAATTTAGAACTTATAAATAGTTTATTTCTGGATTTTTCTATTTAATGTTTTTAGTTTGAGGTTTACCTCAGGTAACTAAAACCACAGAAGGTGAAATAGTGAAGGAGGGTTGGGACTGTTAAGTGTATCGTGATGTAAAACCAGTGCGGCCATCTTTTCAAAAATAAAAGCAAAAACAAAACTTTCTCTCTCTTTTTGTTTTTAAACTCCAGGTCTATTGTTGCCTATCAGCCAGCAGGACTAAATACCCACACTTTTGACGCTGCTGCCTTTTTTAAGTCAGTTGGCATTTTTCTAGGTATATTTAGTGGCTCTTTTACAATGGGAGCTGTAACTGGTGTTGTGACTGCTTTAATATCCTTTTAAAAAAAAAATTGGTCCCTGCTTGGCTACACATACATGATATTGTGTTTGCAAAGAGAAAGTTCTCAGTTCTTTCTTTCAGCCCAGAATCTTAAATTTATTGTTCTTCTGAGATGTGGCACTTCCTCATCTGGGTCAGGCACAGTGATTGGGCCCCTAAGTAATAATGTGAGAAAAAGGCTGAGAAATTGGACTCTGAGAATTACAAAAGAAGAGGTATTGAAAATGGGGTGGGGATATGTTGAGGTATCTGAAGTGGGATGTACAGAGTTGGGATACATATGATCAGAATACACTGTTAGCATGCATGAAATTGTTAAAGAATAAGTAAAACAAATTCTCCCAAGAGTGTGAAGGAAGGAAATATGATCAATGAAACATAAAATATACTAAATAAAGATGGGGAATTCAACTGTAGATTTTGCTTTGTCCTTACCTTTGCTGCTTCTCCCCCTTTCTTATAACCCAATTTGAACACTAATTATAGGAGATGAAGAGACTGAGGAACCCAGAGGAGGCTTGCAGTCAGTGACCACTGGTCAGTCTGTACTTTAGCTTCTGGTTACTGGTGCTGTCTGCTGTTCAGGGACTATGAACATTAAGGTAGCCATAACTAACCCAGAGTAATTGGTGAGAATTATTGGACTTTCCACTGTGTCTTCCATGACAAAGGATGGTATGATATTTAGTTTAAAATAACCAAACATAAAGAGAAAAACATGGAAAGAACTCGCAGTTCCTCTACATATATGCTGAATCCTCCATCACTGTACTCTCTTTGATTGGCATTACTAATGAATGTAATACAAACCACATCCATTTTATGTGTAACCAGTATAGATAATATGGAAAATTATTAGTGAGATATTTTTAGCTGTTTGATTTTTGTTCTAGTTTTTGAGATATGTATCCTTTGCTCTTTGCAAAATCTCAGCTATTCCTAACTACATTTTAAATGTTGAGAAACCGCATGTAGCTAGCAGCTACTTTGTTATAAAATACACATCAAGCTAACTTTGTTTAAAGGCCTGAGTACTGAGGGCTTAATTGCTCAGTGAACTTGTTTGTGAGTTGCTTCTATTTGATGGCATATTGAATGGTTGTGGTAGGAGAAAGATTCCCTTTGTTCTCAAAAGGAGACCTCAGCACTTCATTGCTGTTCCAGGAATTATAGATTTTTTTTTCTGTCCCATACGTGGGTGAGGCCTTAATTATGGAAATTAGAGCCTTAAGAGCCTGTCTTCCCAGATCTGCCCAGTCCTATGAGAACTAACCTGTCAGTCAAGCCTGCAGCCAGAAATTTATTCATAGAATCGTAGTAATTCATTTGGTATAGAGTTCACCCATTTAAAGCATACAATTCAATTGTTTTGCATTCCTTATGTCATTAATTTTGAAAATCATGGTAATATATAATAAAATTTGCCTCAGTACACAGTTTAAAGTAAGTACAGGAACCAACAAAATGACTCATCACGTAAGAAGTTTTTCCACCAAGCCTGATGACTTGAGCTTGATCCCTGGAACCCACATGGTAGAAGAAAACTCCCTATGAGTTGTCCTATGACCTTCACTTGCTTAGCAGGCACATGATGCCCCCCCCTTCACACACACACACACACACACACACACACACACACACACACACACCTTTTTAAGTTATTAAATACACATTTTAAGTTTTAAAATACATTCACAGTGTTGATTTTCCCTTCCTACTGCCTGTTTCCAGAATGCTATTCCTCATCTCAGACAGAAACTCTGTACCAATTCAACAACAACTCTGCACTCCAATTCTGACTCTGGTTACCTGTATTCTACTATAAAGTTTTTTTTTTTTATTTTGTATGGTGGTGGGTTGATCAAACCCAGGACTGCAAACATGATAGGCAGGTGCTTACCATTCAGCTACACCACCAGCCCTGGAAAGCTGATTTTTTAAAAAAATTTTGTTACTTGAAAAATTGAGCTCAGGACTGGAGAGATGGCTCAGCAGTTAAGAGCACTGACTGCTCTTCTGAGAACCTGGGTTCAATTCCCAGCACCCATATGGCAGCTCAACTCTGTCTGTAATTTCATTTCCAGGGTATCTGACACCCACACACAGATGTACATGCAAGCAGAACACTAATGTGCATACAATAAAAATAAATAATTTTAAGAAAGAAGTAAAATTGAGCTGTGTGTGGTGGTGCGTACCTTTAATCCCAGCACTTGGGAGGTAGAGGCTGGTAGATCTCTGAGTTTGAGGCCAGCCTGATCTACATTGTGAGTTCCAGGCCAGCCAAGGCTAATTAAAGAAACCCTATCTCGGGGGTGGGGGAAAAGAAGAAAAGGAAGAAAGGGAAAAGAACTAACAAAGCATGTGTGGCAGAGTGATAGAGAACCAGCCTAGCATGTTCAGGGCTCTTAAGTTCCATCCTGACACTGTAGCATTTAAAAAAGAGAGATAAAACTCCCTCCAAGAAGGTATAGGGGATGGGTGGTCCTTTGAGAGGGCTAAAAGAATGGGGACTTCAAGTGTCCCTGCTGCCCATGCCCAGAGCTGCTGTCCTTAACCTGGTGCTGACGTGACCAAGTTTACTAAGCTGCACTGCTTCCCCCTGCTGGAGACGGCGCTCTTTTTCCTGATGTCCTGGAGCACATTTCTTTTGGCTGAAGCCTGTGGATTTACAGGTAGGTTTTACTGCTGGTCTCAGCAGAGCCTGTGAGAGAGGAAGAGGGGAGGTAGGCTGTATGGCTCACCTGCTGTAAATTGTCTTGTCAGTTGAATTTTTTTCTTGCCTCTTTTTTCTCACTGATTTTCAGCAACTCTTTTGACAGGTGTTGTAGCTGTCCTTTTCTGTGGGATTACACAAGCTCATTATACATACAACAATCTGTCAGTAGAATCAAGAAGTCGAAGCAAGCAGGTAAGAGAGGCTCTTGAGCCAGATGGACTGCCAGGTAGCACAGCAGGAAGACTGCAGAGTTCACGGCCTTCTCTTTCCTTCTTCATGCAGCTTTTTGAGGTGTTACACTTTCTGGCGGAAAACTTCATTTTCTCCTATATGGGCCTGGCACTGTTCACCTTCCAGAAGCATGTTTTCAGCCCCATTTTCATCATTGGTGCTTTTGTATCCTTTTCTCATTTATTCCACATTGTACACAGAGATGTGACCTCTGTATAACCACTAAGAATAATCATTTGATTACCACCTCTGTTTTGAATGGATAAGCAGGTCAGTTCTAGTTCAGGATACTTGGGGGAAACTTCTTAAAGCAGAATGTATTTCATTTCAAGTCTGGCTTTTTTTCCCTGATATTTTCTGTTCTAATTTAGTGCGTGACAGGCTATCATTTGTTTTGTAGAGCTCTGTCCCGAGTAGATCTAAAAGTCAATAACCATGTCAGTCCCCACAATTACTTTTAACATGTCATTGCCAGGTTAATGTAACCCAGGCAGATAGTTCCCTGATTTTAGTGACTAGAAGGTTCCAATCCTCTTGCTGTCAGCTGCATAGTCCCGCTTGGCTAGCCATGTCCCATGCTGCCCTCGCATGTGAGTACGCAGTGACCATGCTCTCACCCAAGCTGCCCTGCTGCTGTGGATTATTCTGAGAGAAACTCCTTTGGTTTTCTAAAACAAGAAGGAAGGGAGGTTTTCAAGGAGGGAGAGAGGAGAAAAAAGAACATGTAACATGAGGGAACAGATAAAAATAATTGATAAGATTAGAGGGAAAGAGGAAGGAGAAAGGAGAAAAAAGACAAAATAAAATACGTAGTTCTTTGATTTTCACTGTTGAGAATACAGTGTTTAGAGAGGGGACACTTTGGATGCTTGGCTTAGAAAGGATGGATGTTGCTTAAGGGAACAGGGTAGTCGAGATAGAAGAAGGGCAGAGATGAGAGCAAGGAAAGAGCTATTTTGATTGAGGTAGCCATTATGGGGCTAGCAAGAAACCTGGCACTAGAGAAATTCCCAGGAATCCACAAGGATGAGCCCAACTAAGACCCTAAGCAGTAGTGGAGAGGGGGGTTGAACTGGCCTTGCCCTGTAGTCAGATTATGGGTATCTTAAATATCACCATAGAACCTTCATCCAGCAATTGTTGGAAACAGAGGCAGAGACCCACTGGGCTAAGCTCCCAAAGTCCAGTTAAAGAGTAGGAATAGTGAGAATATGAGCAAAGAGGTCAAGACCATGATGGGGACACCCACTGAAACAGTCTACCTGAGCTAATGGGAGCTCACCAACTCCAGCCAGACAGGGAAGGAACTAGCGTGGACCAAACTAGTCCCTCTGAATGTGACTGACAGTTGCATGGGTGAGGCAGACTGAGAGGCCACTGGCAGTAGCACCAGGATTTGTTCCTACTGCTGGTATTGGCTTTTTGGGAACCTACTCTCTTTGGATGGATACCTTGCTCAGCCTAGATATAGTAGGGAGGGCCTTGGACCTTCCCCAAAGCAATGTGACCTACCCTCTCTGAGGAGTGGATTGGGGGTTGGGGGACAGGTGGAAGGGATGGGAGGAGGGGAGGAAGTGGGAACTGGGATTGGTATGTAAAATGAAAAAAAAAGATAGTTTTTCTTTTTAAAAAAATAAAAAAGGATACATACAACCAATAAATAAATAAATAAATAAAGAGAAACAACAAAAAAAAGGGGGGGCAGATGTTGAGTACCTAGCAATGGCTAGTGGCCGAGGGTTTGGCTTACTTGGTGTTAGGTACTATTTTTTTCATTAAAGTAAGCTTTTCTGACCCTGGATTTCAAGATCCTATCCTTATTGCCTTATTGTTGGACATTTGCTTTCTCTCTCTCTCTCTCTCTCTCTCTCTCTCTCTCTCTCTCTCTTTATTTCTGCCTCTTTTAGGCCTCCTGGGATTCCTTAACTCTTAAAATGTTGTCTTCAAAGAGTATTTTTTTCCCTCTGTGATTTTCATTTCATGTGAAAGAATGTGGGGGCTGTCCCTTCTTAACTGCTAGAGAGTGACAGTGCTGGCATCCTAGTTTAGGGTCTTCTTAATGGCTTCACACACTAGAGGAACAGCTTAGAATCTGTTAGATTAGTTTTTCCTTCACTCAGACTTAGCTTGTTGCTCTGATTTGTATTTCCTGCACGTCATAGTGGAAGAGATAGTGGAGGAAGGCCTTGTTTATAGATCAGGGCCTGTTGGCTGGGTGAGCCACATCCTCTGGAAATCCTAAAGGCTGATGACCACTTGAAGATTTTTCCTTCACATCTGAGAGAGAATATGCTTTACAAGCACTACCCATTTCCTTTTGTTAAAAACAAAACCAAACAAGGAAAGGAAGAAAGACAAAAAAGCAGGAAAACACTTTACACTTTACCCTGGAGGAAGTAGAAGATAGTTTGGCCCTGGTTTCTGTCTGAAATAACTGTGGCTCATGCAGCTGGTGCATTGCTTGGCGGAAGCTCTCTATTTGCTGGCTCCTGCTTGTGTTTCCTTCTCTGACCAAGGGATTGTGCAGCTCTCTCTGTTGAGTGCTGTTTAAACTTGGCAAGGAAAAGATGACTGGTTTCTCTGAATTCTTTGCTTTTCACAGTAGAGTTCGTTTTTCACATTCATTCTTTTCTACTTCTGACATCCCCAAAGGACATTAAAGCTACATAGGAGAGACTTTCTCTGAGTTCATTTGTGTGAGTGAATGTCTCTTTGTGGTAAGACTACTTGAGGGTTCCTCACATCTATTTTTGTGTGCTCCCTAGGCATTGAAGTCCCTAATGTTTTCTTGTGAATGAAAATTGTTGGCTCTTTCCCTCTAGTAGAGCCCAGCATAGTATGTGCCTTGTTCAGTTCTCAATCTGATGGTACTTTAGATTACTTCTGGAGTTAGTTTTAGAGAAATTGACAAGCCTGTCAATTGAACCAGTTCAATTCAGTTCAAAAGTTAAAACCATATGTTGATAAGCTGTATAATGAACCAAGAAGTGGGAAAGTTGACCAAATGACTGCCATTTTGTTGCTGAGTGGTTTGCAACGGGGAGTCCAGGCATTCTGACTTCTTTGGGCAGCCCTGCATCACAGCACTCCTAAAGTTCTGTGCTCAACCAGAGTATTTGAAGTGCCATTCTGGAAATGTGTTGGCTCCTTAACCTCGCCTGGTGGTCAGGTTTCCATCTTCCTGGGCAGAGCTGCGCATATCTACCCTCTCTCCTTCTTCCTCAACCTGGGCAGAAGGCACAAGATTGGCTGGAATTTTCAACACATGATGATGTTTTCAGGTAAAATATATTTATATAATATATATATATATATATATATATATATATATATATATAAAGAAAATAAATTTTATTTAGCAAACAATGATAATACGACTAAAATATAACCAACTGGGCTTTAAAGCACACATCTGTAATTCCAGATTAAGAAAGGGGAAGGCAGAAGGATCAGAAGTTCAAGGTCATGCTTGGGTGCATATTGAGTTTAAGGCTAGCTTTAGGCTAGCCTGTCTCAAGATCCTGTTACACATCAACCTATATTTCTACTCTTCCGTGAGGTACCCCTTCCTTTACTAATAAAAATACTGCCCTACTTTCCACAAATGTGCATTTGCACACATTCATAGTCAGCCAACATTCATGTTGACTGTGTGGTATTTGGATGGAAGACTTAGAGAGCTTGTTATTATGCAAGTTTATTTTTCTTTTAGGTCATTAGGAGAAGAATCATTTAAATAATAAGAATGGTTAGTATTCTAGAATGTGCCATACAAAGTGGTGCTGTTTTTCTTCTTATGCTGGGAATTCTGAGTAAGCCAGATTCAAAGGGAAGAAGATCATACACCTTTAAGTGCTTCTACCTGGCTTAAGCAGCTTGGCTCCCAAAGCATATGGCTAGAGTTCTATTATCCCCACAGTGGCAGTGCATTTTGAGGAATTGTCATCAGGTTCCCTCATCACCAGAAGATCTTCCTGTTTGGTCCCATAGGCCTGAGGGGAGCAATGGCATTTGCACTTGCCATCCGTGACACGGCATCCTATGCTCGCCAGATGATGTTCACAACCACGCTGCTCATTGTCTTCTTCACTGTATGGGTCATCGGTGGAGGCACCACACCAATGTTGTCATGGCTCAATATAAGGTCAGTTTGAAACCAAGCCAATTTTGTATCTAAATGTGTCTGTTGTCATAATTCTTGAGAATGCTCAAGGTGCTGTGCAGGCTGTGCTTGTAAAAGATTTCCATTCTTTTGGTTTAACCAATGTGTGTGTGTGTGTGTGTGTGTGTGTGTGTGTGTGTGTGTGTGTGT